TTTCATATTTCGTGTTTGACCATAGTCTATTCTGGTTAGTGGCATTTAGATTTGTATTTGTTCCTTTATAGTTGAGCATTTTATCAGCTGAGATGTCTGGTATGTAGTCTGCTCGGTTTTATTACAATGTTGCTGCAATTAAACTACTCTGTCTTACTGAATTTTCATTTTTAATACTTTGACGTAAAACTTCATCGTTTCTTTTTGCGCTGATCTTCTATGAATTTTCATTTTACTAGAGGCAGCAGTTGCCAGCTGCTATCATTACCAATGATAAAACCTTTAGGACATTGATTGGACTAGGTTTTCCGGTCAAGCTGTGATAATCTCTGGTCTTAGTGCTATCTAGCTTACTTTACTTTTTCACAGTTGGGGACAAGCTTATGTTTGTAATTACATTTTTTTTTGAATTTACATTTACGAATCGTTAGATGTGACTATAAGGGTAAATCCTATAGTACTATAAAGTAATTAGGAGAAACATATTATTCCCCCCCTTTTTTCTCTTGATTTAGGTCCTTTACAAAAACACTGCAGTAGCATTATTTGTATTTTGATAGTTTCAAGTTTCAACCTATTGAGTTGATTTTAATGGACATTAGGCATATAGCTATTTCATTAATGTTCTCCTTTACTTTTGTTTAGAAGCCAAAGTTGTCCAAGAACTTGTTAGCCATTGCAGTTGGTACAAAGCAAAAAGCAAATGTCAATAAGATGATCAAGAAGGTGAAAGGATTGACTTTATTTATGTTATTATTTAGATTATTGTTAGATGCCAATTTTTTATTGCATTGTTTATGTTAATTTATTATATATATCCTTTTTTCGCTCATTTTGTTCCATTTCACAGTTTCCAGAGAGTGATTTTGCTGTGATGCTTTTCCATTACGACGGCATTGTGGACCAGTGGAAGAACTTAGAGTGGAATGACCATGCTATACATGTCTCTGCTGCCAATCAAACCAAGTGGTAAATGGTCATTAGCTCTTAATTTGGGGTAAAAAAAACTTTTATATATGTTGATTCAGTTCGAAGTAACTTGGCTTTGTATAATGCACTCTCACAAATCAGGTGGTTTGCAAAGCGCTTTTTACATCCAAATATTGTTTCGGAGTATTCCTACATCTTCCTTTGGGATGAAGACCTTGGGGTCGACCACTTCGATGCTAGAAGGTTTGTTGTATAGGTCTTTCTTTTCCTCATTTCACTTGGTAGTAAAAAACACAGTGCTTTACCTACAGAAGAACTGCTGAACAAAAAAAGAAAAAAGAAAAGAAGAAGAAAACTACTCAAGAACTGAATCTAACTGTAAGAAACTAAAGTTTGTTTCTCAGAGTTCAGAGATAGTGCTTGGCTTGAAGATTCAGCGGCTCATCAGGGCCTTGCTCGCAGCCACTTTATTTATGTTATTATTTAGATTATTGTTAAATGCCAATTTTTTATTGCATTGTTTATGTTAATTTATTATATATATCATTTTTTCGCTCATTTTGTTCCATTTCACAGTTTCCAGAGAGTGATTTTGCTGTGATGCTTTTCCATTACGACGGCATTGTGGACCAGTGGAAGAACTTAGAGTGGAATGACCATGCTATACATGTCTCTGCTGCCAATCAAACCAAGTGGTAAATGGTCATTAGCTCTTAATTTGGGGTAAAAAAAACTTTTATATATGTTGATTCAGTTCGAAGTAACTTGGCTTTGTATAATGCACTCTCACAAATCAGGTGGTTTGCAAAGCGCTTTTTACATCCAAATATTGTTTCGGAGTATTCCTACATCTTCCTTTGGGATGAAGACCTTGGGGTCGACCACTTCGATGCTAGAAGGTTTGTTGTATAGGTCTTTCTTTTCCTCATTTCACTTGGTAGTAAAAAACACAGTGCTTTACCTACAGAAGAACTGCTGAACAAAAAAAGAAAAAAGAAAAGAAGAAGAAAACTACTCAAGAACTGAATCTAACTGTAAGAAACTAAAGTTTGTTTCTCAGAGTTCAGAGATAGTGCTTGGCTTGAAGATTCAGCGGCTCATCAGGGCCTTGCTCGCAGCCATATGATGATGAACATCTAATAAAAAATAACTCCAGCTGAAAAAAGAAATATTCACCAAACCTATCATCTTTTGAACTTGTTTTATTTATCAAACCTATTTGTTTGTTCATTTTGTTTTTGCCACATTTGCATCAAAAACATGTCCGGTAAAACAATTTCGTTTGAATTTTATCAAAATTATATCGTTAATAGACTTCTTTATAGAATCATAACACAAAAAAATGAGTTAGTTATATAAGATAATGTTTTCGATCCACTTATGATCTTGAAAATATAAGTTCTTAGTTAGATTTTGCCTTCGTCTTTTTTTTTATTAATTTGGGGTAAGTACAAGACAGTATCTCTTCAAAGATAACTCTTAACCATTTCACATTAATCGCTCACACCCCTAGAGACCTTATTATGCATGAAAGTGCTTGAAGCTTTATTTTCCGGCAAGATTAAAGCTTTATTGTCACGAACTCTATATATTTGGTTTATGTCACACGCTTTATTCTCTCCTTTGAACTTTTTAAATACAGATACCTTTCAATAGTTAAAAAGGAAGGGCTTGACATATCACAGCCAGCCCTTGATCCTGAGAAGTCAGAGCTGCATCATCCGATTACCGCAAGGGACAAAAATTCAACAGTACACAGGTCCGCTGTCTCCCTAAAATCATGTTCAGGAATGAACGACATGCTTGTCTCGTGATAATATTCTCAAGATATTCAAAGTAAATTTATTCACAAGTATTTGTTGTGTATTTTTGACAGGAGGACGTACAAGGTGATTGGTAGGACAAAGTGTAACAAAAGCAGCACTGGTCCTCCTTGCACAGGGTAATCTAAATTTGCCTGACTTTTCTGTCTGTAGTTAACAATCATTTCACCGTAATATGTATAATATATGCCTTCCTTAGTTTAAAGTTCTGAAGAATTTTATCTATTCGCACGGAGTAATAGAAAGAGATGATTGCGTATTACAGATTTGTAGAAATGATGGCTCCTGTTTTCTCCAGAGCATCTTGGCGCTGTTCATGGCATATGATTCAGGTACTATATCCAAACTAGGAAGTTGAATGTTGTACTAAATTACTAATGGAATATATGGAAGGTTCATTAGAATACAATGAACAATCATTGCCATTTTATGCTTTCATGGTCATCCTATTAACTGTTATTTCAACTCTTTATTTTTCTTGAAGTCCCCATTTCTAATGCATAATCGGACATCGGTCCAAGAATCTTTCAAGTTCATGGAAAAACTTTTTAAAAAATTTGAACATATGCATATCTGACGCTCACATCCAAGTCCTAATAACATAGTTTATTAATGCCAATGGCTTTCATAAAAGATGGAGTATTGATATCCAGGATGTTTATCTATTTTTTATTTCTAATAGTAAATGGAAGATAGAGTATTTCTTGCTTGATAGAATTAATGCAGCTTAAGATCATCACCATTAGAGATATGGGTTTTCTCTGACATTAATCAACTTCTAAATTATCGAGAAGTCTTTCTAAGATGACCATATTGTTTCGTAAAGTTTAGTCGTAATTTATCAGTAATCTCATTATTGGTTTTCACTTATATCAGAGCGATCTGGTTTATGGATGGGGATTGGACTTTCAGCTTGGTTATTGTGCACAGGCATGTTCTATACCTTCAACCTCACATTTTCATTTAGCTTTAAAGATGGGAGAAAATGAGCTATTATTCAGTATTTTCTACATGTTTCTTACCATAATGCTTTATTTGATAGGGTGATCGAACCCAAAAAATTGGAGTTGTCGATTCTGAGTACTTAGTTCATGATGCTCTTCCTACACTTGGAGGCGAAGCTAACAAGGTAAGAAATTTAACCCAAAGATGATTCTAAAGCTTTTCAAGGGTCCTAGGGGGTTTCTTCAATGTTGAAGCCTTGACCTTGATTGTGAAATAGAGACAACCAAGGCTAGCCATGAATTTTCTGATTACTTGATCTCTGCATTTATTATACACTCAAGTCCTCGACGGTGAAAGGCAAACTCTCTTCATTGATTATATGTGCAATAATGTATGGCTAGTACACTACCTGAGGTATCCCAGGTTGCATAGACCTCATTCAGGGTTGATCATGGTCTATCTATGACCAATCTATAGCATTTTCAAATATCATGATCCAACCTGAGCCTCAGCTTTGGTTCTCATGCTCAGCTTGAATTAAATTTCATGTTTGGCTAAGGTTGACCATCTAATTCCAATATCCCAGCTATTTATTTATTCTTTAATGACCTTTGCATTTGCAGGGAGCATCACCTTCCAATGAGTCTGGTGGAAGATCTGAGGTAAGCCTTGAACTTATGCAATTTTGAAGCTCACTTCACTCCGTAGCACTATTTATGGCCAGACCTCTTGGCAAAATCATCAATTGGTTGTCTATGGAATTCTTTTTCCACAGGTTAAAAAGCAATCATTCATTGAATTAGAGATCTTCAAAAACAGATGGAAGAGAGCTGTTAAGCAAGACAATTGCTGGTCTGATCCGTACGATCTATTGTAAAAAAAAAAAAAAGAAGTAATGCTCACCTAAAGACGGATTACAGGAAGAATTTGGTTGTTGAACATGCATGTAGAGGGTCACGAACACAGGATTTTCTAATCAAGGAATGATACAGCAAGAAATATACTTCAAAGCATCTGCAGAATACTTATCTTGAACTATAGATACACTTATTAGCAATAATTAATACCCATAAATTGTGGCTAACCCTTCAAGTTGATATATTTCTCATTATATACTAACTATTTATACTGCACATTGGAAAATGAATACCAACTACATATGATAAATCAAAAATCAAACTTCAGTTGCCTTGTCCTTACAAGATCCAACCATTACAATCATAATTGGCTTGTCACAAGAATGTGAACACAGTTCATTCATGTATTGCTTGCATTGCAAGCAATAAAATGCATAAGCCAATAAAAAAATTGATGTTTGGAGTATATAGGTAACTCTAAAAAAATTGTAACTTATCATGTTATGATCCTTCGGCTGATAAGTCCCGAAATGATCCCGCCAAGTTCTTCGCCACTATCTTCCTGGACATGATGCCCTGCCTGCAGGAGGAAAACCAGCTGGCGCATTATTGTCTTTATAAGATTCTTGGCATTTGAGAGAGAAAAGGATAAGGCAGTAAAATAGAGGTTAAGATCCCACGCCCCAACATATGCTTCATCTAAGGCTGAACTGAAATGTTGGTTTCAATATAACATGTAAGTGCATGTGGCATGTTGGTACCATTGGAAGCTCAATCAGTTTATGGTTTGAGTTTTTGCAGAAATCTTCCACTTCATCGTAGTTCAGCCAACGGTCCCTCTGGCCCCAACACACCGTAGTTCGAACTATCCAATTTTCATCAGTGAGAATTGCTTTTGTATCTTCCACACATGCCTGTCAAGCAAAAAACCAGAATGATTTTTCCATTACACCTTTAACCTTATACTATATAAATGAATCAGGAAACAGCGGTATAAGGCTAGTACTATAGTAGAGGCAGAAGGTTTCCTCAAGAAAGAGGGAAGGTGGAAACTCAGAGTTGAATTCTATATCTTTGATCTGATTAAAACAGAACTTGAACTACATAAATATAAATATAGTAAATAATAATCCACCTTAAGCTCTTTTTTCATGGCCCTACTAATTGCATTTAGTGCAAACCCTGATGAACCAGATGTAATATAAGGCCTTCTATAAACCATCGCATCATCCTCTTTCATTGCATACGGACCACAGCTCGTCAGTTCCTTATCGCTGGCCCTCAAAGTCTCCTATTCAGCAAAGAGCAAACCATTAACCATTTAATGCTATATGGTATCTCTTTAAACCAATTCATTAGTCCATACAAATGAACTGATGGATGTCTATATTCCAGAATAACATGCACATGAAAGCACAAAGTGTTCCTTATTCGTGTCCTGAAAGTTTACTTCCAGATCCATCTTGTTGTTTACTTGGTCAGTTGACCTCAAGGTAGAGGTATTAACTTCTTTAGGAGTACTGCTGCTCTCAACGGTCCCTTTACTTATCATTGGGGATTTGATTTGTATCCCAACACTATTTCTCTGCTTGCTATTCTTAGGAGGGATAGAAGTTTTGTTCTTCCCCTTGCTCCTTTCTTCTGTTTCGATGGTCTGTTGAGCATTTTCCTTGGTTGCCCTTTTCTCTTGGCTTTGTGTTCGTCCTTGCTCAACTTCTTTCCTGTTTTCAGATGTTCCCTCTGTTTTTCTATTATCAATTTGGATTTCCTCACATAGAGCTTTGAATCGATTTTCATTCTGGTTTTTCTTGGTTCTTGTTATACTGCCTTTTTTTACTTCCTCGTGTTCCTTTTTGGCGTCTTTGAACCAACATCCATGGGTCATATCTCCCTTCTTTGTTGGTTCTTTCCTGAGATATCTTTTCTTCATGTATTTCCTCCGTTTGTTCCACATTTGGGGTGGGATTTGGATGAGATATTTCCTATCCTCCTTTTTGAATATTATCGAAGTGTCTTATATGACATTGTTCCGATTTGTTTCCCACCATCCCACAACGGAAGCATATCAGATGTTTCGTACTCAATATTGGGAACGATATTACCTATTCTTATCTTTGATATTAACAGTTTGTTTAAGTTAATTTCCACACAGATTCTAGCGAAATTTCCTCTCGTTATCCATGTTGTGCGATAATCCACTTTCAATGGTGTACCTACCATCCTTCCAATATTACCAAGTATACCCTCATCGGAATACTCTATAGGCAAACCTGGAATATGGATTCATAAACCTCTTCATCCATTCTTGTTGAGCTATGGAACATACCGGTAAAAATTGGTGAATCCGCCACGGTGTCCCTCCAAGATCTCGTCCATGTTCTTTCCTCGGCTGTTGCCTCTTCCACAGATAATCGGATTCTTTTGTTACTTTTGCTTGCCATATCAACTGGTTCATCCGCCTGAGTCACCTTTGTGACCGGTAGGTTGTCTTCTTGCATGAGTGACCAGACGTGAGTTATTCAAGAAAGCTCCAAGATTCTCAATTATAATAACGTCAAAACACACAGACTCGTTTGTTTAGGAAATAAGGCGCTACAAATGCTATGACACGACAAGTCGGCTTTAAACTTTCTTGTAAACAATCTAAGTGCAATGCTTTTTCATTCCATAAAAACCTCTATTTATCTTTGTACAGACGACGTACTGGAAGAACCCTAATTGGTTACACCAGCTAACATTTGAAATTATCTAACAATATTTGTTATTATCTATTAACTAAGAGCTAACAATATTTGAAATTGTTTGAAATTATACTTTTTTTATAAACAATCTAAGTGCACTGCTTTTTCATTATATAGACACCTCTATTTATTTTTTTGCAGACGATATTCTTAAACAGGTAACACCTGTGTTTTAGTTTTTATTTAATCTCAGTATCAAGCATTCAATGAAAAACCAACGTATTATCAAATGACAAAGGAAGAATAAGAACACAAAATCATAATAGAAAAAGAATTATTCTATAGATTTTCTATTCTAAAATTTGTATGGCTGTTTTGTAGACCCCTTAATGGGATTGGACCAATAGACGGGCACCAAATTGAAAATTTATCCAAAAACGGAGGGCCTTTTCAACAATTATTTTTTAACTCTCTGTACAATTTTCAGTTTCACTATGCCTTTTTCCTTTTTATTTATGGGAAAATATTAGGCAAAAAATATCTTTCAACGGAAAGCAAGTCAAGCAAAGAGCACTAAAAGCTTGAGAAAGGATTTGCATGGCTTCATCACAATTGCAATCCTCGTATACTTCATCGAAATATAAGTTCTAAGTGTATCTTACTGGATGCAGATTTTGAGCCCAAAATATCCGATTTTGGTCTTGCTAGGCTGATGAACCCAATTGATACACATTTGAGCACCTTTGTGAATGGTGAATTTGGAGATTTAGCTTACGTTGCCCCTGAATATGGCAGAACGCTAGTGGCCACTCCAAAAGGAGATGTCTACAGCTTTGGAGTTATCCTTCTTGAGTTGGTGACTGGTGAAAAACCTACCCATGTATCCAAAGCTCCTGAGAGCTTCAAGGGAAGTCTGGTTGAATGGATTACACAGCTATCAAATGATGGAAAACTTCACGATGCTATTGAAACAACCTTGGTTGGCAAGGATGTTGATAATGAACTTTTCCAATTTCTTAAACTTGCATGTAACTGTGTATTGCCACCTCCCAAGGAGAGGCCTACCATGTTTGAAGTATACCAGCTTTTAAGAGCTATTGGGGAGCGATACCATTTTACTGCCGAGGATGAAATTTTGATGCCTTCAGACACCGGTGATGTTGATTATTTAGAAGAACTTATTGTTGCTCGAGATGTCAATGAGAGTCAGTGAAGCCATATGGGATATGGTGAGTATTGTATCTTAGCTTAGTGCATCCATAACTTTGTTCTTGTGCATGTTTAAATAAAGGTTGAAGTTACATGTATGATGCTTTACTTACTATTTCAACTTTATGCATTCAGTACTCAGTGTAATTGTATCGGTTACATTTTTAAGCATCCAATTTAGGGCTTGGGTGTCTTTTATTTAATAGTAGAATCCTTCACTAGTGTCCTGGAGGAAAAGCTTTAGATTGTTAGTATCTTAGGTTATCTTTCCAGGCTTTCTCCCTCAACGATCATGTATGTAGAATTATTAATTTCACACCGATTGAAGCTTCACGTGATGCAAGTATGATCACTTTATAATTGTGGGATTTGTTTTCCTTATAGATTAATGTGATAATCGTCGAATGATAATATGAACGGCGAATGATTGATGTATGTAACATAAACTAGACATCATATATATAGTTGTGAGGGTTCAAGTCTTTTCTGTGTTTTTGATTGATGAAATGTGTAATTCACTGCTGTTTACTGTTTGCACTTCTGGATTATGAAACTTAATTTGGCATACGATACTAACAGTAGAACTCTCGCTTGCACAGATGATGAAGAATCATTGTGCACCCGCATAAATGCTAGCACGCTTCAATCGAATAACTACGAAAAAAGACATCTAGATCCATGCTGTATTCTTTATGCTGGATTTTGCAGCCTAACTTCCTACTTTCATTTACTAGAATTTATGTCGAGAAACTGGACCTATTTTAACTTTCTGGTCTGGGATTTATGTCAATTAGGCATCCATGTGACGTCGAGGTGGCATGTTCCATCGAGTGTCATTGATGCTTGATGAAATGGAAGGGGAGTTGGAGCATTTTTCAAGGGTCACAATCCAAAAAACAGAGTTTTAAAGTTGTCTGATTATTGCTTAAGGGTTGCAAATGATGTGTGTGTGGCATATTTTGCTTAGTAGTACTCGTTAATTTCAGCATCTTTCAAGACTTTTTTTGGTATTTTTCCTTCATTTAGTGGAGAGCTGTAATGCATATGTGGAAGTTGTTGATGTTAAACAGGCAACATAAGTCCCTGAAATGATGTTTGATGAACCATTGTTGAATCTCACATTTGCAGACATCTTGTCTGCAACTTCAAATCTCAATATAGGAAGGGAAATTCGGGAATGCTTGTAGAGGATTTATGCCTGGTGGAATCCATGTAGCTGTCGAAGTCTTGGTTCATGGATCTACATTGATCGACCATGAATGAGCTGGAGTATCTTGGTACAATCAAACACCCGAATCTTGTCCCATTAATTGGATATTGCTTGGCAAAGGAGTTGTTACATGACATGCCACTTGATGAAGAAGACAACAGTGAGCTATCAGCATTAACACCTGAAGATTTCAGCGCAAAATAGCCCTCGGCATTGCACGAGCGCTGCCATTTCTTCACCATGGCTACTCACCTCCATTAATCCATAAAGATGTTAAACAGTGTTTATCTTGATTTTAATTTGGAGCCTAGATTGATAAGATTATCTTAATAATTTAAATTGTTATTCATGATTTAATACTTTAATAATAAATTAAAATTAAAATTTAGAACTAAATTGATTAAATTTATAAAATTTGAAGCAGAGAAAAAAGACGAGTTTGAAGCATATAAATAGTTAGATGATTATTTTGTAACTTTTAATAGTCGAAAGACTCAACAAAACAACATCCTATAATCGAGCGACCATTTATTTACTTTATCAGATATTTTATTAATTACGAAACTTATATTTATTGCATAATTTAGGGATTCATTTGCAATTTTAAAAACCTTGGAGATCAATGTAAAAGAGGATCACAGTTAGAGGGCATATGATACAAATAACTCTAAAAGGAACAACTACCCCAACCCTGAAATGGAAATTTCTTGGAACCGTCAAAATTATCAGCAAACTTTGTGCAGGAATCACCTGAAAAAACATCCCAAATTTCCCCATGGATTTCAATTGCGCATCCCCTAAAACGATCCCAGTTTTTTCGACCTTTTCCTCTCCCTTCGACAGTTCTCCTCCAGATTCCACATCGACCGGGAACAGAAAGCCCATTAGCCTGTGGCCCGGAATGTACCATTCGCCGGTGACCGATGCTTTATGGGAAGCAAGGTCCAAAATATTCGAGCGACTCCTTGACCCTCCAAAAGACGCGCCCCCACAGAGCGAGTTACTCACAAGAACTCCGTCTCAAAGCAGGACCAGCATCTTTTATAACTTGTCGTCGGATTATATCTTGAGAGAACAGTATAGGGATCCCTGGAATGAAGTTAGAATCGGGAAATTGCTTGAAGACCTTGATGCTTTAGCTGGGACTATCTCTGTCAAGGTTTCTTTTAACAAAATTCGTTTTTTTTTTGCATGAGAAAATCTGGTTTTTAGACCCTTTTTGGATGGTTATAGTTTGTGTTTTTTTGTTTTTGAAATTAGCATTGTTCAGATGATGATAGCACAACAAGGCCTCTCTTGCTGGTTACAGCTGCTGTTGACAAGATTGTTTTGAAGAAGGCTATTAGTGTTGACATTGATCTGAAAATTGTTGGTTCTGTCATATGGGTTGGGACATCATCAATTGAGATTCAACTAGAAGTCATTCAATCCAAAAATGGTGCTTTCTGGAATCTGTGATTTGCGTTGTTCACTTCATTATTCTTTTTCTATGAATTTTTATGGAATCCATTTTTATTTCTGGTTCATTTACACACTGCACAATTAGGAGAAGCATGCTGTTCTTTGTTGTTTTACACAATTTCATCTGTTCGAGCACAGAAGTATCATCTATCTTCTCTTGTGGTGATTTTTTTTTTTACTTGAGTGAGACTTTGCCTATACTTAGATGCTACTTTGAACTGACAATATTTGATAGTGTCGAGACTTACACAGATGGCTGCTAGAAATGTGATTCTGTTGACACTTCTTTATATCATTTATGAATATTTCAGATTGAAGTTTGGCCATGTTGATATGGACTTTGATCGGATAATGTTATTTCATGCAGAAAACTCAGATGTTTCTGATTCAGTGGCTCTAACAGCTAACTTCATCTTTGTGGCCCGGGACTCCAAGACCGGGAAAGCTGCTGTTGTTAACCGGCTTTCACCAGAAACTGAATGCGAGAAGTTTCTTTTTGAAGAAGCTGAAGCTAGAAGCAAATTGAGAAAAAAGAAAAGAGTAGGTAGAAGAGAATTTGACAATGAGGAGATAAAGAGACTGGAAGTGCTTTTGGCTGAGGGCCGAATCTTCTGTGATATGCCTGCACTAGCAGATAGAGACAGCATTCTTTTAAAGGATACCCGCCTTGAGAATGCTTTGATCTGCCAACCACAGCAGAGGAACATCCATGGTCGAATTTTTGGAGGTTTCTTAATGCATCGAGCCTTTGAGTTAGCTTTCTCAACAGCCTATGCCTTCGCTGGATTAGTGCCTTGCTTTTTAGAAGTTGATCATGTTGATTTCTTAAGGCCTGTAAGTACCTTTCTACTTTCTATTGAGCTTTTAGCATTAATTTAATTGTGTCTCAGATAGAGAGAGATCGAGATCCTGAACCATTTATGGAAGGGCCGAATAGCTGAACATGTCTATGCAAAACAATAATCATGACTCGTTTCTTCTTCTTTGCCTTCCATGCTAGGTGTTATTCAATATTGTTTGAAGTTGCCGCAATCTTTTCTTCCCCTATTTTTGCCCATCAAACATTATTTCAAGCATGTCCTCATAAAATGCAAGACGAGAATAAATTTTCAGATTCAATATCAAATGTCTTTCCAGCATCTTTGGCTTGCATTTGTGCAACAAATTAGGTCAGCTTTAGTTCATTAACTGTCAACTCTATATGAAAGATATAGAATTGCTATCCGTTCATCTTTCAGGGAACTTTTATAACTTGAGCAAAGAATACTTGCGTCTCGAGCAGGTTGATGTAGGGGACTTCCTTCGACTGACGTCATGCGTTCTGTACACTGAACTCGAGAATCTAGATCAACCTTCTATTAACGTCGAAGTTGTTGCTCATGTTACGAGGCCTGAGATTAGATCTAGTGAGGTAAAACCCTTCCGAATGCACTATTATAGAACAAAGGGCTTCTACGTGCTTGATCCTGTGTTTACTACTTTCAATGATTAGATGGTTACTTACATGTTATCTCTTTTCGTAAATGTATCCATGAAGCAGGTATCAAATACATTTCATTTCTCATTCACTGTCCGGCCAGAGGCAAAGGCCGAGAAGAACGGATTTAGGATTCGAAAAGTAGTTCCTGCAACGGAGGAAGAAGCACGTCGTATTCTAGAACGCATGGATGCTGACATGCTGAGACAATAAAATCAGTGAAGCAAAGGCGGTCAACACTACTTTCTGATATAAGCAATATTATGGTATTAGTCTAATGTTAAAAAAAGTATTTGAAATAAATTATTGTGGCCTGCTATAAATTTGCAGGCACGAATCTGATGAGTGTGGCATTCTCATTGAGTCATATTATTATTACATGAAGTACACCAAAATTCTCAACTACGACGCCTCTTTACGTGAAATTCAGTTCAGAGTTTAATACATAGCTTTACTTACAAGACATCAAAGACTACCTTATTCTTTTTTTCCAAGAAAATTCCTCTAGTGTATTATATCATTATCATATATATGAACAAAACTGTTCCAAAATTATTGTACATGGATGTATACAGATATAAAAATAAGAATATAAATAAGTAAATTACAGCGACCATGTATTGCAGACCAGGCCATACAAGCTTCAATCAAAATCCAAACAACCCAGTTTTGGCAGCTTCAATTTTACAGCTTCAGCAAACGACTAAGGTGATGCAGGCTCATCATCGGAACCAGAACCATACTGTGATCTCCTCTGACAAAAAGCTTGGGACATCATTGGATTCACCGAAACTGGAAACACTGGTTGCATCATTGGATTCACTGGAACTGGGAATTTATGGGCAGAACTAACAATGGTTCGTTCATTTATCATCCCAACTTCCTTGCAGACTCGTTCGAGAACTGTAAGGAAATCCCTCACCACCATAAAGATCCTAAATGGATGGGCTTCTTCCTTTGTAGAGTTCCCATGGAAGTATTCAGTGATCTCCTTTACTAGCGATAGTGCCACGCTTTCATGGGCTCGAACCCTT